GGGCTCCCTGCTCAGCAGGGAGTCTGCTTCTCCCTCTGACCCTCCTCCCTCTCATGCTCTCTGTCTCTCATTCTCTCTCTCGCAAATAAATAAAAAATCTTAAAAAAAAAAAAGAAAGTATGTACAAAACCTATGCACTAAGAAATATAAATATTTCTGAGAAAAATTAAAGACCTAAATAGAGAGATCTACCATGTTCACTGATTGAAAGACTTAATAATGATCGCTTCTCGGCCTTTTGGCTAAGATCAAGTGAAAGACTTAATAATGTTAAGAGGTCAACTTTCTCCAAATTCATCAGCAAATTAAACACAATCCAAATCAAATCCCAGGAGATTTTTTCCGTTATAGAGAAGTGAATTGTAAAATTTACAGAAAAGTGCAAAGGGTTCAGAATAATCAAAACAATTTTGAAAAAGAATAAATTTGAAGGACTTCTTACACTATCTGATATCCGAGGTCAAGACTTAATATAAAGCTACAGTAATCCACATGATATAGCTGTAAGGATAGATACATAAGCAGAATAGAACAGAATAGAATAGACTAACACATATATGGTCAATTGATTTTTTTAAAGATATTCACTCATTCATTCATTCGAGGTGGGGAGGGGCAGAAGGAGAGGGAGAAAGAGAATCTCAAGCAGACTCTGCAGTGAACCCAGAGCCTGACGCAGGGCTACATCCCACAACCCTGAGATCATGGCCTGAGCCGAAATCAAGAGTGGGATGCTTAACTGACTGAGGCACCCAGGTGCCCCTGGTCAACTGATTTTTGACAAAACTGCAAGATAATTCAGTTCAACAAAACTGTAAGGTAATTCAATGACACAAGGTTATTCTTTTCAACAAATGATGTGGAAACCTGACATCCATAAGGAAAAAGAACTTTGACCCTTATTTTACACACACATACACATGCACACACACAGAGACACCACCCGTCAAATGAATCACAGTCCAAAAGGTAAAAGCTAAAACGATAGGGGCACCTGGGTGGCTCAACTGGTTAAGCATCTGACACCTGATCTCAGCTCAAGTCTTGATCTCAGGGTCATGAGTTCAAGTCCTGTGTTGGGCTCCGTGCCAGGCATGGAGCCTACTTAAAAAACGTGGGGGGAGGCACCTGGGTGGCTCAGTCGGTTAAGTATCCAACTTTTGATCTCGGCTCAGGTCATAATCTCAGGGTCATGGGATCAAGCCCCGAGTCAGGCTCCACGCTCAGTGGGAGTCTGCTTTTCTCCCTCTCCCCCTTCTGCTCGCTAACACTCTCTCTAAAATAAATAAATAAATCTTTAAAAAAAAAAAAAAAGGCTAAAACTATAACCTTTAATAAGAAACCATGAGAAAAATCTTCATGTACATGGGTATGGAAAGACCTCTTAGAAACAGAATCACCAACCATTTAAAAAAAAAAAAATGGGTGAGAGGCACCTGGGTGGCTCAGTCGGTTAAGCATCCAACTCTTGTTTTCAGCTCAGGTCATGATCTCAGGGTTGTGAGATCAAGCCCTATGTCAGGCTCCATGCTGGACATGGAGCCTGCTTGAGATTCTCTCTCCCTCTCCATCTGATCCTCTCTTCTTTCCCTCTCTCTCTCTCAAAAGAAAAAAAAAAAAAAGGGATGAATTGGATTTGATCAAAATAAAAAAGTTCTAGGGTGCCTGGCTGGCTCAGTCAGTGGAGCATGAGACTCTTGATCTCTGGGTTGTGAGTTAAAGCCCCACGTTGGGGATGGAGATTACTTAAATAAATAAATAAACTTTGGGGCCCCTGGGTGGCTCAGTCGTTAAGCATCTGCCTTCAGCTCAGGTCATGATCCCAGGGTCATGGGATCGAGCCCCACATCGGGCTCCCTGCTCAGCTTCCCTGCTTCTCCCTCGCCCACTCCCCCTGCTTGTGTTCCCTCTCTCACTGTGTCTCCCTCTGTCAAATAAAATCTTTTAAAAATAATATAATTAATTAACTTTAACAAAAATTTAAAATTTTTTTAAAAATAAAAAACTGCTGCTATTCTGAAAAGCAAGCCACAGTCTGAGAAAAATATTCATAATATATATGTGGTGGGCAGAATAATGGCTTCCCAAAGACGTCCATGTTCTAATCCCTGGAATCTGTGAATATGTTACCCTACACAGCAAAAGGGACTTTGCAGATTTTATTAAATGGAGGATCTTGAGATGGGGAAGTATCCTGGATTATCTGGGTGTATCTAATGTAATCACAATTATGAAAGGGAAGCAAGAGGGTCAGAGTCAGAGAGACTGGAAGATGCTATGGTACTGGCTTTGAAAATGGAGAAAGACGGGATGCCTGGGTGGCTCAGTCAGTTAAGCGTCTGCGTTCGGCTCAGGTCACGATCCCAGGGTCCTGGGATGGAGCCCCACATCGGGCTCCCTGCTCAATGGGGAGCCTGCTTCCCCCTCTGCCTGCCCCTCCCCCTGCTTGTGCCCTCTCTCTGACAAATAAATAAAACCTTTAAAAGAAAAAAGAAAGAAAATGGAGAAGGAGGCCACCAACCAAAGAATGCAAGTGCCTCTTGAAGCTGGACAAGGCAAGGGAATGGATTCTCCCCTAGAGCTTCCAGAAGGAACACAGTCCTGACAACACCTTGAACCGTTTCAGACTTCTAACCTCCAAAACTGTGAGGAAATAAATGTGTTGCTTTAAGGTACTAGGTCTGTGGCAATTCATCACAGTAGCAATAAAAAGTAATACATATATACAACAAAGAACTTGTATCCAGAAAATAATAAGAACTTTTTATACCTCACAATTATAAAACCAAAAATGGGCAAAAGATTTATACCCATACTTCACAAGAGAATGTTTTACTCATATTTCACAGTAGAATGTCTAATAAACGCATGAAAAAATACTCAACAGTAACCATTAAGAAAGCATTATAATTAAATCCATAATGAAATAATATTATGGACCTACCAGAAAAACTAAAATTATATATACTAACAAACATGAATTGATGGTAAGAACATGAAGCAACTGTAACTCTTATGTATTACTGGGGAATAGGTAAAATGGTACAACCATTTTGGAAAAGATGTCCCCCAAAACTTGTAAATGAATGTTCCTAGCAGCTTTATTCATAATAGCCAAAAATAGAAAACCCAAAATGGCCATCAGTCAGTGAATGGATAAACAAACATGGCTTAGTCCTCTATGATAGAACACTACTTAACAACAAAAAGGAACTAACTGCTGATATATGCAGCAACATGGATGAATTTCAAACACATGCTGAGCAAAAGAAGTGAAACACTTCTTGAGTTCCATTCATACGAATTTCTACAACAGGCAAAACTAACCCATAATGAAAGAAAGTAGATCAGTGATTACCTGGTGCAAACTGACTACAAAGATACACAAGAGTTCCTCACGTGACAGAAATGTTTCATATCTTGATTGTGGTGGTGACCGTGCAGGAGTATCTATTTGTCAAAACTCATCAAACTGTACTTAAAGCATGAGTATTTTATTGTATACAAATCATACCTTGTTTTTAAAACAAGTTGATTTTAAAATAAAATGCCTGCATCTAGTTAAGCAGACTGTAGCTTTCTGAAGCTGAGTTCTTCCCTTCCCATTGGTAATACATGCCCACTTGTGCTGTGGAAGAGAAGAACGTGTCTACAGACAGCCCGGTGACACATCCTGTGGCAGAAAGAGTAAATGCTTACCTGAGGTGCAACGTAATAAGGGGTGAACTGGGGTGTCATCAAGTCCCCTTGGTCAATTTTGGCAAATCCAAAGTCACACAACTTCACTGGGGCATCCTGAAATAAAACAAATGGGAGTCATTGCTCCAGAGTTCTCAGTAAACACTAAAGGAAAATCCAGGTGGAAGACAGGTTATCTTGTGCTCTCTCTCACGAGTTTCTAGCTGACACCGGAGCCTATGAATAACATGTCCTCACATCTGGAGAAATGATTCATACTGAGGAATTTTTCTTAGTAACACAGAGGTAAAGAATTTCTATCCACTCATAGCTGGCCTTGTTTCATGACTGGTATATGCAGTACTAAAATCAAGATCTTAACCAAGTGCCCCCTGGCTCTATCTACTGGCCCATCATCTCCAATCCAGGGTGCGACTTCACTTTTAGCATCAACTTCAAGATGGCCAGAGCAACTTATTTGGTGGGACATGGTACAAGGGGCTGGAGAGAAAAAAACACCTTATCAGCATTAACGAACGGCAAATACAACTATTACACTTCAAGGTAATATTTAACAGCATATAGATTCCTGCCCCTTTCCAAAGCACCCCCAAATCATATCCAAAATCTTAAGTCTTACAAATGTATATCAGTACCATCCAAAATTATCAATGCCAGGGGTATAGTAGAATGTCTCTGAGCCTCTAGCAAGGAAACAAGTGGGGAAAGTAAGCTGCTGGAAGCACTTTGGCTTAAAGCCTCTTCACCATGGATTCAGAGAGCTCTGAATCTACACCTACACACCCATTCCCGAACTGTGTTGAGAGTGGCAGCACTAAAAGGCAGAAAAACAAGTCATCTCACCAAAGAGTTATCCTTGAAGAGCAGATTTTCAGGCTTGAGGTCTCTGTGAGCGATGTTTAACAAGTGACAGTGCTGTAGAGCCAAAGCTATCTGGAAAAGGACACAATGGAGCAAACATGTCTTAGAAAAGATAGCTCTTTAATGCCCCTAGCTTAGAGAACTCAGGATATTTAAAAAAAAAAAAAATCCTTAATTAAGTCGATTAAGACTGGGGTTGGTTTTCAATTTTACAGCAGAAATTAAGTAAGACTTTGGGTACCAAGAAACAAATGAATTCAGCTTAGTTTAGCTGCAACCTGTATTTCATTAAGCTAAATAAATAAATAAACAAATAAATAAATAAATACAGTAAAACACTTCTTTGCCCAAGTAAACCGATGGGTACCAAGAAATAGAAATGAATTCAGCTTAGTTTAGCTGCAACCTGTATTTCATTAAACTAAATAAATAAATAAAACAGTAAAACACTTCTTTGTCCAAGTAAACTGACAGTTAAATCCTGTACGAAATGGGAAGGACGAAATGCTTCCAATTCCACTCCTCTGAGATGCACCCACCACGGCAGCGTAAACACTGTGCCGGGCAGTCTTCAGCAGGCCTGGGCTCCCCTAGTAGGACAGTGGGCACTAACACCTGGCTCCGCACTGTCCGGGGGTTCAACTCCAGGCTCTGCCTTCAAGAAAAATGGAAAGCTGCTAACTGCATTTTTCCACCTGATGTTCCAATTTGCTCATCCCATTTGCTGAAATGAAATGTCGCCTGTTTAGGTGGGTTGGAAGGGTTTTTGTTTTATATGAGATTCTCAGAGCACATCCTAATATTTGAAATCTTTGAAAAATACAAGATGTAATTTTTAAAATTAAATAGAACAAATTCTACCTGTTCTTCAACTCTCAGTATGGAATTGTCTTGGCATTCCAAATATCAGCCCCCCCCTACCAGAAAGGAGGCATCCAAAAATGCTTAAGGCTCCCACACACTGTTAGCACTTGAAGCTGAGGCCGCTGGCTGGCCGCGGCCAGCTCACAAGCTCAGCTAGTGCGCTACCAGAGGGCCAAGTCTTCCGCTAATGCCACAAGGGGCTCTGGCCCAGTGAGCAGAGACTTTGATAGGAATTCTTGCTTTAAGTGAGGGAAGAATGCTTGAGGCTCATGGAAAATTTGGAAGAATTTTGTATTTAGAACCAATTGAGGTCTGATTTCCTACTTTTTGCCTTGCTTGCTTGGCCTGAAGATAAGCCTTGTGGAGTTAGCTTGTCACCTCCTCAAGAGGTTATTTCGTTAGATTCCTAGTATTGTTTGTGACATAAATCATTTTTCTAGCAATAAAATGTGATGTCAAAATAGAGAGACTATAATCAGGAATAACCCAGAATTACAAAGACCTTAGAATTCTATTAAATCTGATGAGGTGACTCAGAAGCAAAAAGTATCTTGTATACAATTGTCCCAGAAGATATTTTTATCCCATACAATCTTTCAGGTGTTATCAACAGCAATTTATCTCAAAGTCCAACACTGCTTGGAATGCTACATACTCAAAGATATCTACAGTCTACAGAGGAATTAAAAGATTACCTTTCTTCCAGAGTTTATTTAAATCTTATAATAGGCAAGCAATTGACAACCACTTAAAAATACAGTCCCCCCCCAAGCATAAAAGGGGTCACATTTCTCCTGTCAAAGCATCTTTTCTGATTACATAACAAAGCAGGCAATGAGAGATCAAATAGAGCTTTTCTTCAAGCTTTCTTTTATTCCCCCCAATGAAATTGTGCTTGTTAACCAACATTGTTGGCAGTTTGATTGGTTCCCGGGGTTAACTTGCCTGCTTTGTTACTTGGCTGGCTTGCTTCTCTGTAAAGTGCCGGTGCTGGCTGATTCTGTGAAATAGCTCTCCCCCTTCCATCATCTCCATTACAATTAAGAGTCGAGCCCTGTTTGAAAGCATTTGATTTTGTTAAGTTAAAAAAAAAAAAAAAAACTGAAACATCAAATAGCTAACCTAAAGATACCTCATCTACAAAATGTGTAACTACTTCCTAAGTCTAGCCCTACCATGCCCCTTGGAGTTGGACCCCTTGTCACTATCAACTGGACACTATAGATAAGGAATACCCCTCACCTAAAATTTTCTAAGACGCTAAAATGAGAGTAAAATAATTAAGTTTTGAAGACAATGATCCTTTTGAAGATACTGGACTTAACTTGTTATTACTAGATGTTAAAGGGGGGGTGATCTTTTTTTTTTTTTTTTTGAAGATTTTATTTATTTATTTGACAGGGAGACAGCGAGAGTGGGAACACAAGCAGGGGTGAGTGGGAGAGGGAGAAGCAGGCTTCCCGCTGAGCAAGGAGCCCAATGTGGGGCTCGATCCCAGGACCCTGGGATCATGACCCGAGCTGAAGGCAGACGCTTAACGACTGAGCCACCCAGGTGCCCCAGGGGTGATCTTTTAAGTGACATGTTTTTGTATCATATTTAGGGCAGCTAGATAGAAAGTGCATTGAAAACAGAATATGACTTTGTATAGGATATGAATTTCAAGTCACTTGACTGGTGTGGGCTACCTTGGTATTCACTCTCATTCCTTGTCTGTCTATGTCTGTATCTATGTCTGCGTGTCTCTCTCCACTCCTTCTCCCCACTATACTAGTTTTCCATGTGACCCACAGCATACCCAGCAAGACAGCTGGACAGGGTTACACAGCTACTAAAGAAAAGCAAAAATTCTCATGTTGTTAAAAAAATAAAAAATCGGAATTCTGGTTACCATTCTTTGATATAAATGCTTCCAGCTTCTATCCAAATGCTTTCACCAACAGAGCACAGTTGTTAAGAAAGTTATGATTTCCCATTTGTTTTTACAAATCCATCTTCTTTCTCCACCTGGAAGAACCCTACCAAGTCCTAGCCCCCACATAACCACTCTGTGAGACACCTCACCTCCCCAGCCTACAGTTAGCAGCTCTCTTCTCCTTTGTAAGCTCAAAATATCTTATGGATGCCTCTCCTTGGTGCCTATCACATTGCTATGAAGATAGGTTGACATCCCAGTCCCCAGAAGAAATCATACCTTATTTAACTTTGAATCCCCTGGAAGACACTTAGAATGCCACCCAGTGGGCTTGCCAAACATTTGGCAGCTAAAAGAATAATGTTGATTTATTCCTTTAAAAGGAATGTCAGACTAAGCAATAAGAGCTTTTTGCCATATCAACTCTAAGCCAGTGCCTAGTAATATCTGGTCCCCTTTCACTAATTTGAAATAGAATCTATTTTAATTCCACATTACATACTTTTTTTTTTTTTTAAGAGAAAGTAATCACAATAATCAGGGGGTCCCAAAGAGTAGGTGGGGCATAGATGAAACAAGACTGACAATGAGTTGGCCAACCCAACTGTTGAAGTTGGGTGATGGCTACCTGGGGATTCATTACATAATTCTGTCTGCTTTTACAAATGTTTGAAATTTTCCAAAATAAAAAGAAGAGAAGAGAGAAAGAGGGAGGGAAACAGGCAGGCAGGCAGGAAGAGAAGGAGGGATGGAGAGAAAGGGGAAGGGGGAAAGAGAGCACAAAAGAGAGGAAAACCCCACTACACCTTGACCTACATGTAGAGAGGTGGACATGTGGTGATGACCCCCATGTAGTCTTACCTGGGGCTGGACTCATGAGGAAACTGTACACTGTTAGCAAACACTTCAATAATTTGAACTATATTTGGGTGTGTGGCACACATCATGTGCAGACGTACCTTAAAGAGAACAGAGGAAACGTATCACCTCACCAACAGATTTACTTTCTACTGCCCCACCCATTAGCAAATGAAAAATCTGGCAAATAACTCATTTTGTTTCAGAAATTATTCATGTATCTCTAAGCAAAAGAATACGTCCTCCACTGCACATGTTACTAGTATGTCATCACCACACCCAGATGATTTAAAACAAATGTGTATTTTTTAGAACTAGAAACACATCCTCACAGCCCTCCTGCAGCACACTTACAAGACACTAGTCACCATTCTCCACTCTTCAAGGAACTTGTCCAATAAGTAAAAGCTGAGGTAAACCTGAATACTTCAGGGTATAAGAACCACATTAATTGAAAAAGAACAAGAGGTGGTTTCAAGGAAGTAAGACTGACAGCCTTTGGTACTGATAGATATGAGACCACTTTGTAATGATGACAGGAATAGGGAAAAGGGGTAAATATGGATATAAAATTCTTTGTGCATCTCTGTATTCCCTCCAGGAAGCTGCCTTACTTGTAAAAAGAATAATCTCTAGGCACTTCCAATATTTAGGCAAATCAAGGCAATAAAGGGTCATACCTCATTTCTAGCTTTTGGACGATCAAAGAGAATTTTCAGTGCAAACCGTTCTTGAGTAGATTTCTTTACACAGACTCTAGATTTGGAGGAAAAAAAATCAATCAGAAATCATCTACGTTACACTGAAAACTAATTTAATAGGTTTGTTCTTTTAGAACTGTACTTCTAATCAAGAATATATCCGGGTGCATCCAAACAAACTTGCCCCTAGGGCTAGCAGGTGGAGAGGCAGAAAAGCCATCTCACTCTCCCGGCACAGGCCTCAGCTCCTGAGCCATGTGGGAGCAACCTGAAGAAGGCCAAGGAAGGAATGGCCAAGGATGGCCTCTGCTGGCAACTCTCACAGTAGCTCCACAGTCTCAATATCTTTTTTCTTTTTCTTTTTTTTTTTGAGAGAGACAGAAAGAATGAGGGGGTGGGGGCAGAGGGGCAAGGAGAGAATCTTAAGCAGACTCCACACCTAGCACGAGCCCAACATAGGGCTCGATCTCACAACCCTGAGATCATAACCTGAGCCGAAATCAAGAGTCAGACACAACCAACCTAGTCACCCAGGTGCCCCAGTCTCGATATCTTAAATGATTCTATGTTACAGATCAGATGACTCAGTCACTTAAATATATTTCTAAATGGATGAGGAAAAGCCTTACATAAATATGTCCACTTGTTAAATTAAGGCTATTTCACAAATCTGGCACACCTGATGCTTCTAATGTACAATGTATGTCAAATGGCCCTTTGCGGAGCAATTCTGCCATAGTTTTGCATGTCGTCTCTTACCTAACTGGACCACTAATTCCAGCTCCCAGCTTCTGAGTCCAATTGATATTGTATTCCTCTAAAATGGAGGTTTCCTATTAAAACAGAAAAGGGAGGGGGCAGACAATGATTCTCCAATTAAAAAGCCGAATAATAGAGCAAGGTGGGACAACAGAAAACCTTATCACTCACTATCTCATCTTCTAAAAGAAACTGATAAGTAGGGCTTTGCATTCTTTTGGCTTTATAATTAGGTACTTCTTCTAAATGACTAAGTTAGGCACTGTTTTCCAGCAAAAAAGAAAGCAAACACTTTTGGATAAGAAGAAATTCTTCAGCTCATCCACAAGGTCCACTTTACTCAATGTTTTTCAGGGGGTGCGGGGTAGTGTGAGAGGAACATATTCTTTCAAAATGCTTCACTACTGAATATTCAATTGCTAAAATGAAATGGTCAGTATATTTTCTGAGGTTCCAGAAAGACTGCTCTGATAAATGCTTCTATGATATAGAAGGCCTATACCCTTGAAGAAGTTGATCAAATTGTTGAAATAACTGAATAAATTGAGACTTAAAAGTTCAAATAAGGTAGTAGTGAATATAATAGTAAATTTATCTAATTTTCAACAGCATCATTTTGAGTACAAAGATATCGTCACATTCATTGTGTAACTATATTTTTTATAGTTTTCAATTGTTTTATTTACAGTTTTAATAGCTTCCAATAGTTCCCAATACAGCCTCTATGATTTAGTGAAAGTTTTTATGGAATTCCTGTCTAATCACTATATGCTGAGCTTCGGTTGCCATAGGCTTTCAGGCATGAAAACCACATATTTAAGTTATGGCAGGCTAAAATTCACTTTTCAGGGTTCCACAGGAAGAAAAGGAAACCAAATGGAGACCCTGAGAAATTAGGCTGGAACTCATGAGATTTTCAAAGTGTTTTGTTGCAATGAGAATTGAATAGAATCGCAACTCCCAGTACATGGGAACAGGGTATCTGTCCACACTCATTGAGCAGTTGGTATGTGCCAGACACCAGGCTAAGTTCAGAGACAGAAAAACAGAGCTTCTGCCCAATTAATATGCAAGCATACAAAATAAGCTTACAACAGGCATCATCTCCACTTTCCTGCTGCCCAGTTCTTGATAAAGGTTCTCAGCATATAATAAATGCTCACTAACTATGGAATGAGAGACTAGAAAGTAGACTAAAGCTGGATGATAGAGGGATATTGACTTGGGAAAGATCAGTTAGATCATTACACAAACTTCCTTCAGAAAAACTGTACACGAGGGTTAAGGAGCTTGAGGGCACGCAGTGAGTTACACGGACTAATGAGACTAGAATCTATGGCTTTGGCCTCTTCCCTAGCACCATTCCAGCTATCAAAGTTAACTGCCTTACACAGAAGATTAGGGACAGATCTTGCCCAATCAGGGAGGTCCCAGGCTCTGTCCCCAACCACCACCTCCTAAACAGAATTCAAACCTACCCATTTAACTTGCCTACCTCCTTTATGTTTCCACTGCATGGCCTTTAGAAGTGTTTGAGAAGACAGGGAGGAATACAGGATTGGGAAAGAGGGAGTTGGGAGCATAGTCTAAGCTTCATGGTGGAGTAAAATCATTTGCTAAACCCCTCCTTCTCCTCAACTCTAATGAAAACATACACTCATAGGAGATCCATGGAAAAGAGAGATTTGTTCCATGGAATTATCTGTCATGAACAAATCAAAGAAGTGTTCATTTGCCCAGTTCCTGAGATGTGAAAATAACGTTAGACAAAATTCTTCACTGTGCTGGTGCTTATTCAGATGGTACTCTACCTAATACACAGCCAAGACCGTTCAACTTGTAGAGGCTCTGATGAGGCTCTGACAGGAGTTTTACCACTTGCCGTTACAGAAGATAAGAGAGGCACTACCAGGCCTCTCTACAGCCCTGATTTCTGAACCCTGTTTTCCTTATACCTCTTGTCCTCTTTCCCAGCTTTCATTCTTACACCTTTGTTGATGGTGCCATAAACACTAACTGGTCTAAGGCTTCAAGAAGCCTGGCTGGGGAGGAGAAATAACAGTCTCAGATCTGTCAACTCTTCCATGTGTGGATGGCCTATTTTCTCACATATTTTAATGACAAGGAGAATATAGGAAGGGATGGGTCAATTAAAACACTTCACTGAAGGAAATTATGGACTAATTCAAAGGCATCAATGAGAAACACATTGACTGAATTCTGCTAAAGAAATATATATACTGCCTTAAATTAATAAGGATATAAATACATGGAATGAAGTAATTCTTTGGAATCCTTCTAGACCAAGGGTTTGGAAATCACAACCCACAGGCAAATCTATCCATTGTCTGTTTTTGTAAATAATAAAGAAAATATATTTGTGAGAGATATAAAAATAATAATATAGTAAAAAAGTTAACATTTACTGGATTAAAAAAAAGATCCAACCATAGCTGTCTATAAGAGATATACTTTGGATTCAGAGAAGCAAACAAGTTAAAAATAAAAGGATTTCAATGATTATGCTGGGTAGACTGGGTATCCACATGCAAGCAAAAGAACAAAGTTGGACCCTTAACCCCATACACAAAAACTCAAAATGGATCAAAGACCTTAATGTAAGACCTAAAACAATAAAATTCTTAGAAAAAAACATAGGACACAAGTTTTGTAACACTGTATTTGGCAATGATTTCTTGGATAAGACACTAAAGGAACAGGCAACAAAAGAAAAACTAGACAAGATGAACATGAAAATTTAAAAATTTTGTGCATCATAAAACATTATTAACAGAGTAAAAAAGGCAACCCACATAATGGAAGAAAATATCTGCAGATCAAGTATCTGATAAGGGATTAACATCTAGAATATACAACAATTCCTAAAACTCAAAAACAACCTGATTCAAAAAATGGGCTAGGAACTTGAGAAGACATTTTCCCAAAGATATACAAATGGCCAATAAACACATGAAAAGATGTTCAGCATCACTAACCATGAAGAAATACAAATCAAAACTCCAATGAGATACAACCTCACACCCATTAGGATAGCTACTATCAAAAAACAAATAAATAGGGGTGCCTCAGTGGCTCAGTTGGCTAAGTGTCAAACTCTTGATCTCAGCCCAGGTCTTAATCTCAGGGTTGTGAGTTCAAGCACCACGCTAGGTGTGGAGACTACTTAAAAAACAAACAAACAGAAAATAACAAGTGTTGGTGAAGATATGGAGAAACTGGAATGCTTGTGCACTACTGGTGGGAATGTACAATGGTACATTTCCAATGCCATGAAAAACAGTACGGCAGTTCCTCAAAGAAATTAAAAATAGAATTACCATATGATCCAGCAATTCCACTTCTGGGTATATACCCACAAGAACTGAAAACAGGGTCTTCAAGAAATATTTGTATATCCATGTTCATAACAACTATTCATAACATGGAAGGGACCTAAGTGTCCATATACATATGATGGAATATCATTCAGCTTTAAATAGTAAGGAAATTCAGAAATATGCCACAATATGGATGAACCATGAGAATATTATGCTAAGTGAAATAAGCCAGTCACAAAAAGACAAACACTGTATGATTCCATTTTTCTGCGGTGCTTAGAGTAGTCAGTATTACAGAGACAGAAAGGAGAATGGTGATTGGTAGAGGCTGGGGGGAAGGACGCAGAGGAGTTACTGTTTAATGGGTACAGAGTTTCAGTTTTACAAGATCAAAAAAATTACATGGATGGATGGTGGTGATGGTTGCACAACATTATAAATATATTTAATACCAGTGAAGCGTACATTTAAAAATGGTTAAGATGGTAAATTTTATGATATGAGTAATTTTATTACAATTTTTTAAATGGAGAAAAAAGTAAAAGGATGGAAAAAGATATACCATGAGTAACTATAAGAGAGCTGAAGTAACTATAGAGACAACAGACAAAATAGACTTTAAAACAAAAGATATTAATAGAGAGGCACTTTTTATAAGGATGAAAAGGTCAATTCAACAGGAAAATACGAGGATTATAAACATATATGGAGGCACCTAAGAACAGAGTCCAAAAATATATGAAGCAAAAATTGACAGAATATAGGAGGAAAATAGATAATTCAAAAATAATAGTTGGAGATTCCACTACCGCTACTCTCAGTAATAGAAAAGCTAAACAGAAAATCAGCTGGATGTAGAAGACAACACTGTCAACCAACTTGACCTGACATCTATTAGAACACTGCATCCAACAACAGGAGAATACACATTCTTCCCAAGTACACATGGAGTATTCTTCAGGATTAATCATATGCTGGATCATAGTCTCAATACATTTTTAAAAACTGAAATTATATAAAGTTCTTCAACCATAACTGAAATTAAGCTACAAATCAATTAAGCTACAAATCAACAAAAATTTTAAAATTACATAATACTTCTAAATAATCAATGGGTCAAAGAAGAAACAGGGAAATTAGAAAATATTTTGATCCGAAAGAAAATAAAAACACGGGGCGCCTGGGTGGCTCAGTCACTAAGCGTCCGCCTTGGACTCAGGTCATGATCCCAGGGTCCTGGGATCGAGCCCCGCATCGGGCTCCTTGCTCCGGGGGAGGCCTGCTTCTCCCTCTCCCGCTGCCCCTGCTTGTGTTCCCTCTCTCGCTGTCTCTCTGTCAAAAAATAAATAAAATCTTTAAAATAAATAAATAAATAAATAAAATAAAATAAAATAAAAACACAATACAGTAGTCCCCCCCTTGTCTGTGGGGGGTACATTCCAAGATTCCCAGGGAATGCCTGAAATCAGAGCTGGTACCAAATCCTATATATACTATGTTTTTCCTACACATACATACCTATGATAAAGTTTAATAATTTAAAATCTATAACATTATAAATTATAATTTATAAATTAGGCACAGTAAGAAGCTAACAATAATAAAATAGAACAATTATAACAATATACTGTAATAAAAGTCATGTGAATGTAATCTCTCTCTCACACACAAGTATCTTTTTGTACCACACTCACCCTTCCTCTTCTTGTGATGGTGTGAGATAACAAAGTGCCTAT